GTTTCCTTATGTCCCTTAGCACTGAATATAAAAAAGTTATGTAGCATACACACTAAAATATTAGTGCCTAGCAACAGAAAGCAATTCCTTTAAGATGCAAATAGCTGAATTTCCTTCCTATAAAAGAACATAATGCTGTCACAAATGCTGTGGACTCAATTTTTCTCTCAGAACTGGAGCTTCAGGTGATTTTGTAAATAATTTTATTCACTCCCCTAAGAAGGATGGTGGTTCAAAAGAATTTTCCAGATAAGAGTGAGAGAAGGATATGCTTTAGTAATACTTTTTCCTTTTTAAAAGCCATTTTATTATGCACAATATCAAGTTATAATGTTAAAATGATTTACAGGATGGCTCTGCTTCCCCTCACATATTTTTCTTTTTCCACTAGCAATCTTACTGGTGATAGATCTCCACAGACATACAGTCATAAAATAGGCTGCTCACATTTATTTAGAATTTGTACAGTGCTTCTCATAGCAAAATCTGAATACCTTCTAAATCCTAATGGATTTATCATCCCTACATTCCTGTGATGTACATTTATAGTTTAGACATTACCTCACCATAAGGAAAATTCATTAATGAATTATGCTTGAATAAAGTTCATCTGGGTCCTTAACCAGGCCTAGCTTCAGAATGATGAGCAGCAATTTCTGACGGTTTCATGTGAGTAAATGTGTTCAGACACATAAAGGACAGATGCACACTGAGCACATCTGAAAAAGAAGGCTTATACAATTTGCCCAGGGTCAAGAAGAAACACAGATTGCAGGAACAGGAATCAGCTGTCCTAATCCTCTCAGTACTCTGCCAACAAGCACATTCTTCATTTCACAAATCATGTACTTCAGCTGAAAATCTCCTCTTCTCAAATTCTGCTATTTGTAACAAATACACATTTAACTACTACCATTATGACCTCTCAACAGTGGAAAGTTGAATTAAAACCAGTCAAAACTATCTGCCTCAAGCAACTCTGCAAGAACAGCTGAAAATCAGCTACTAATACCACTCAAAGACACCACAAAACCCCCAGCAACAACTTTCTCAAAGTTACAGAGGGAAAGTAAATCATTCCAGCTCTGTTTAAAGCTATCAGCTGTTAAGAGGAACCTTTCAGAAAGTTTTCAAACTTGAACACACAGAATTTTTAATTATACAGTATTTCCTTTATCCCGAGCTCATGATATTCATAAAAAGAACACAAAAGAAGTGGCACCCCACCTTGAAGGTACATGGCATCCCTCCAAATGAGCAGCACATGGTTGCCACATGGTCCCTAAGTCCTCAGAATATGTTCCCATCACTTCCAACACTCCAGTTCCAGTCCTTTCCATGAGACTTCTTCAAACTAGATTGGTCTTTTCCAAGTCTGGGAGGGCATTCCTCCATTAATTGTGAAGATATCCTCCACTTTGAACTTCCTAGGGGACCCAATGAAGGATGGCTGTAGCAGCTAACTGCCCAACCATTTAGTAAGTTACACAAGTTACAATGATACTGAAAAAGCCAAATTTTTCTCTTATTAATTTTTGTAGCAAAGTGCCTATAGAAAGCAAACTTCTGTCGAGCTTTTCATTGCTTTATCCATATGCAAAACCACTGCACATCATCTAACAATATCTGGGGAAACAAATCCTATAGCAGGGGTTCTCACTAGTAACTACAACCAGAAATGGCTTTGTAGCACACATTTTGGCTTCTAATAGTTTCGCTGTTACCTGTTAAGATGATAGTTACCCATCAAGAAACAAAACTGTTCAGAGTTCATTCCATGTACAGTGGAACAGCCACTTGCAGACAACAGCCAACCATAACAGATTAACCACCTGATTCAACACTAATTGAATGCATATATAACCACTTCCCCAGAAACTCCTGACTGAAAGATCGAGAAAAAAAGAAAATAAAATTTGTTTCTGAAAAAACTTTATTTTAGTAAGATTTTGTTTTCTGCTAAAATATTCTCCAGGGAGCTGCACTTGTATGTGTTTACTTCTAAAAGTATGCATTTTGATATGCAGGCTCATCCCTTCTAACTATACGCTATTTTCAGGTCAGCAATTCAAAATTCAAAAAGTAGTCTCAGGCATCCCATCCTTAAACTGAAGCGTTTAAGCAAGTTAAGAGAGTAATGAAAAACACCCCCATTTCTACCAGAGGAGCCACAGTCTATTACTTGAAAACTGGAAATTAACATACTGTTCCCTACTATCTTTTACAAGATCTTCTTCAGTCTTTAGAAACACCAGTATTCACTTGATTTAGCATTAAAAAGAGAATAAATATACTGAATGTTGACAGAAGACTTCAATGCACTGGTAAGAAATTTGTCAGTTTGGAAAAGATTTAGACCATAGTCACTGTGAAAATGTTCTACTCGTAGTAATTTTTACATTTGCATTACATTTGTCTTCTTTAAACTATATCTCACTTTTTATCACCCCAAACATAAATTCTAAGATAGTCTTAACACTTTTTCACTGGTTTCCCCTTCATCCATCTTTGGATGTTAAATCTCTTTCAAAACAAGCAATTATTTTGCTTTATAAACCAACCATTAAAATAGGGTTTTGGCATTTTCTCTTTTAGAAACCTTCATAGATTGCATTCCTCATCTGTCACAGCAGTTTTACATACACTGCCACAGCGTACAATGTGGCTATTAAATCTAGCAGATTTTAGGAAATATGCATATATTTCACAAACATAAAAGAATAGATATTTATGGATGAATTTAAGGTTCATAACTATAACTAATCCCCATCCTATAGAAGCCACAAAATCAGTCTTAAAATCTAATTTCAGATCCCTTATAAACACAGATTTTCCCTAAAAGCAGCAATGAGCAGATGAAGTGCATCAAAACAAGCCATCGCACCTTTTTATCACAGCATTGAATACACTACCAGGAACAGAAACACCACACATAAAGCTATTAAAAGAAATACTATTTCCTGTTCTTTAAAGCATATGCTGGCTAACCATTCCCAGGTATCTTTGTGTTGATTTTGTTAATGGAGTGCTGAGGCTAAATTAAGGATTGCGTATGCCCACAGCCTGCAGTGAAATGTCGATAGCTATCAGTTACTACCAGGATCAATCTTCTCAAGCAAGCACAGAACTTAGAAAGGGACTTGAGCTCAACGCTAGTTGACAACATTTCCACTGTTTTTTCTTTTTTTATATAGTATTTTCATAGGAAAGGCTAATCAGAAAACAAGTATTATATTTAACCAGTTCTAAGTGGGTGGCTCCTCCACTGCTTTAACTGGATCACAAGGAGTAGAATCTCCGACCGTAACTGTTTCCTGTAGCTTGATTTTTTTTCCTCCAATTAAAATTCAAAATGAAATATAAAATCCAACCACCGCTTCCACTTGGCTGCTACACAAATTTGGTTTTACTCAAATAAAACTGGAGTGGTTTATTTCTTCTTTTAAATTATGACTATATTTAACTGATTTTGATGTAACTGTTACACTTTTTCCTATAGTCATGCCTAGCTCGTACTCTCTTTCTTAGTGCTCAATGGAATAATGAACTTGATTTTCAGCTGCAATTACAACAAAGTGAACAAAATACAGCTTCCAAGAGGATCTGTGTCTGCCAGCATGACTGATTTTGAAGCATTTTTTTTAGCATTCAAGCATTTCATGACTACTGATATGTTATAAAAAGTTTCTCAAGATCTGGGAGTATTTCTAGATTTCATAACCATACTCAAATACTCATGCTATATACTAGCATATATTGTGTGCATGTATTGGCAGTTAAACTTCAAGATTCCAACATCTGGAGATGTTTCAAACATTAATTCAATATTTCAGGATATTAACATAAAACATTCGACTTTCATATTTTGCTGTGTTCCTCTTTTGTTACTACCTAAAAGCAGTAGTCATCCCAGGTCAAAACTATTTATGATCTACTGTAAAATGTTGGGTTTATTATTAATACTTATCACAAGTAAAAATTTGTACATCTATGTACACAAAATATCACAAAGTATGTGTTCTGTACCGTACTGAAAAATCCATTATCACTAAAGAGGTTACTTTAACAAAAAAGAGCTTATCTAGGTACACGGTATTAAAGAGATTTAAAATGATAGGCAGTGAAATAAACCACTGCAAAGGAAGAGCAAAGATAAAATACTTAAACCCAAGAAAGGAAAATCAAAGTTGATTCAGAATTACATTTATGAACATCACCTACCTGAGTAATACTGAATTTCAAGAACAACACAAAACCAAGTTTATTTATAATGCATACTTAGTATTCACCAGGAGCATGCTTGCATGGCAGGACACTTACCTGATACAACTTCAGGAACAAAAAGATTGAAAAGACAAGCAAGAGATTGTGGAATCTAGCAATGAGAAGGCTAGTGGATAGCACAGTACCCAGCTTCCAAACTAGTCTCCAGATTTTTCTTCTTCATTAACATATTTGTTTTGCAACATTTCAGAGACACAAAACCATCAACAGTTTTTGTGATCTTCACAAGTGGCAGATCCTACTTAGGGATGAAAATTCAGCGTGTGACTATCCAAAATCCATACTCTTGAAACTTTATATTGAAAGAAATTCTAGAAGCAAATAGTGGGACTTGGCATTATCATGCCAACAGGACCAAACCCACGTTTGATATGGTTAAACAAAATGCAAGTTGCTCAGCATTTATTGCTTGGGTTGGGCAAATATATGGTTCTAATGAAGGATCAGGCTCATTAATTCTATTTTTCAGGCTTTTATTTGGTTCAAAAAGTATCTTAGAAACTTTTTATACAGATGGATTACTTTGTGAGAACTGCATACACGGCTGCTTACACTAGATTCTTTTGCATTGATAGAACGTTCAATTTCATTCTATCAACACCTTGTTTTATCAACATGCCTAATAAAACTTACTAGTTTGACATGATTTGGGAGATATGATAGCTATCTACTTGTGTGCGTGTATATATATGTGTATATATATAAATTTTTCTTACCAAAATGACTCGGAAAAGAACTGGAAAAAGATGGATTTCTTCTACAAGGCTGTAAAAACATATTTTAAAATTTATTTTAAAAGAGAGGAAGTGAATTCTTGTTTAAACACACCAAACTCACAAAAGGAGCAGAGTAGTAGAAGAGCTGTTGACAAAATCAATGACCCAGAACCTCAGTCTTTGACTAGCTCTCAACAAAAATGAGCTCCCACTTGAGCCATTCAATAGAATCAGCAACGTTATACTGCTTTGGAAATTACTTCTAGGTCTGCTTCACTGATGGGATTCGAGTGGAAGAGTACTTAAACTCACATTTTTAAATGGCAGAAATTAATCAAAATTCAGAAATATAATACTATACATACTATGAATAATCAGTGCACACCATTAAATACTTAGACTTAATAGACTCAGCGCATATAGTGAAATTATAAAAATGCTCGTTTTAAAAGCATGCTACATTAACAAACTTCTTGAGTTTAACATATAATATGTTAACATATGAATTTAACATAATATATGACACATTTCTCAGCCACTTCTCTTGACAATACTGTGCGGTTATCCAAAAGAATTTAGCTATATTCTCCTGAATTTCAAAATCAGATACAAACCAGCATACATATTTATAAGAAAGAAGAATATTCTCAAAAAACAGTAATACTTTACATTAATGCAGTATTTTCTCTTCTTAGAACCCCAAACACTTCATATTTATCAGAAAGCCACCTCTCTCTCACATACACTATATGAATTACACTATTACATACTTTTTCCTGTGGTATACAACAAACACCACAGAGAAAATCAAATTGTGTGTTTTGAGTATTTTCTCGTGTCTTTATAACACTATTGAAGTGCTTCATAAACAACAGGAGGCCTTGCATTTTAAAAATTTTTTTGCATTTAAAATTTTTTAAAATTTTTCACATCGAATAGTGGCCTTGCATTTTTAAAACTTAAGACATTCAGGAACTGATCAGCAACATGAAAGAGGAAACAGAATTACAGGTAAAAGGTTAATAGCTAATTTCTTTACTAACGGGGAACTTTCATAAAATGTAACACTAAGGACCTGTGTTTTACTTTAAAGCCAGTGATTAGTATTACAGTCACTCCATGGCTAGACTATGAGCACTCACTTGTAATAATGAACTCTGACCACCGTTTTTGATATGAATTACAATGATGTGTGACTTGACAGTGTTATTAGCTGACACACAACATTTCAAGATTCTGTTTCTCGGTAAGTCTTCCTGCCTGGTGTTATTCAATAAAGCGGCATATATGCAAATATTATACCAAATAATAGGAATAGCAAAGATTATACTAATTCTTTGATGGTTTATATTAGCATTATTTATCTAACAAGAAAATTAGGGTATTTACAACTCAGTTTTCACAGATGTGAAACTAGTGTAATCAGAATCAGGTTCAAAATCTACACAAATATTTCCCAAAGTTCTAATAAAACTCTACCAGCCTCTGACAATCTCTCTCAACCCATCTGAATCATGATTTTCTCACTGACGCACACCTCTAACACATAATTCTACTGTTCAGTTCAGTAACCAAAAATGTCTATTTTAGCAACGTATAAAAATTAGACTCCATAGGCTCTATGGGCTTACTTGTCATCAGAACTACTCCATATTATTTTATTCATATTCATTACAGAGAATAAGAAAACACATCAAAGGAGAAGTAATTTAGAAGCAAATAGATCTACTTTTTAAAGTGAGCACTTCAACCTTAAACTAGAAAATTAAAATGACTAATGAAAAGAACAAAGTGTTTTTAAAACAATTAATATAAGCCCCCATTAATCACTTCACCAGGACAGGAAAGCACTGAAGCGCTGGCCCTCTAGTATAACAGCGAAGGAACTACAGCAGGTTCAAACATCATCTATGTGCAGTGCTAACAAGTGCTTGTGAACCAAATCACAATTCTATCAACAGAAACCAATTAAAAGCATCACACTCAACTCCAAAGAGTTTGGGGTTTTTTTCTACCGTTTGTTTTTTGAAATCAAAGACATGGTATTAGACAGACCATTTCAGAATACACAGAAATGTACACAAACACCAATGTGGGACATCACGATGTATGATAAGAGGATCAATCCATTACTAACACTGACTCTAAAATGTGCCTTAATGTTTTTCAAAAGATAACACATGAGTACAAACAGCAGCATAAATGAAGTTTGAAAATTAGGCCATTCTTGGACGATTCCGCAGGCATTGTGACAAAAGAGCTACTTTAATTAGGGAAGACAAGCTGCTGTGGTGTACAAGGTCTAGCCATCGATCATCTTCATAGGTACTAGATCTGAGGCATTTAGAAGCAGTAGACTTTTTGTTGCTCTTCAGCACCTTCCTGTCTTGTTTTCTGACCCCTCCTCCCTTTTCCAGAGCAGTGCCTAATGTCCAGTATCTGCCGTTTTCTTAGTGAATGAACTCTAAGGGAGGTTGTATCAGGCAGCAATTGTTGCATGATGTAAAAACAGGTATATACAGGAAACACCTGATTCATTTATACTCCAACCCATTAAGGTGAAAACTAACAAGAAAAGACTCACCCTTGTCTAAAATGATGTCTTCTTCCTGTGGATGCTCATATGATCACATGTTCAAATACTTAATGTGCTCAGAGAAACACATTAAAGTTTTTTTTACAGCTACCATCTTACGCATGCTGGAACTTATGTTTCTGAGAGATCTAATTCTGCAGAACATTAATGGGATATCACTAGAATTCTCCACTGCTAAATTGAAAAGCAATAGAGTGGAAGAGCTCCCATAATACCGAATGTTAAAAATGACCCCAACAGTGGAGCAGTATTTTATCATAAGCTTATAAGACATTAAAAATATAATATTTGAATATCTGGGCCTCTGCCCTATAGAACAAACTACCTGTAATAGAAAACAAATGTCAGAAAAAATGGTAAAAAGAAGATGGAATGCTTTTCCTCTGACATCACAACAAGTTAGCTGTTTTACCATATCATGAAACAAAATATTAGAGTGTATCTGTCTCCTTTCAAGTGCTAAAAGAACTGCTCAAATGCTAATGCCTCTATATAGAGGCACATGGGGAAAAGACTGAGGGGATGGGAAGAAGAAAGATAAGTGCGAGATACAAGAAAAATTATGGGATTAAAGAAAAGACAGCAAGAAAGAGAGAAGGCGTTAGGTAAACAGGTCTGAGAACAAATTATCACATGGAACAAACTAAATAAAACACCATAGCCCTCACCCTCCTCTCAATTCACTTTTTAAATTTCAAAATAAGGTTAATAATACCACCTGTTTTTGAAAGATCTGGAAACAATGAGGTAAGCACTAATTTGACATTTTGTCACTTTACAATCTTCTTGCTACCACCATTTTTATTAAAGTCACAGCAGAAAGCATAAGATTGTATTCTATAACAAATACGCTCTAAGGATTTTTTAAAACCTCCTAAGTGCTAGTCAAGGTAGTATGATAGTGTTAATTCCTAATGGAAAAAGAAGATTAATTGAAACAGAAAGAACCCAGACCAACAGAGAATGTGCAGTTATATCACCTCACAGAAGCAGGGCTGTGTTCAGTCAGGGCCACCAGCAGTTTCAGAGCATACATTGGTACTGGGTCTGGAGCCAGCAGAATGTGCTCGTACCTGAAAGGGGAAAAGGGGCAGCAACAGCAGAAAAAAAAAGTCAAGAGATGCATGTTAAAAAGTTGGTATTAAAAACACACCATTTCCCATTTCCAAACTTTCTAATAACGACAATGGAAATACAATGCTGTTTGGAACTGTACAAAGCAATAAATGACTATTTTAAAACCAGAATCAGATTAATTTTGAAGCAGCATTAATAAAAGAACACATTATTTTTTAGAGAGATACACAATTAGGAAATGCATAATCATATTTATAAAATACATGTGCATGTTTTTATAAATATAAATTAAGACATTTATAAAAAGGCATTTTGTCTATATGCATACAATTTATTGATCTATATTTTGATATATTAAAAAACATGAAGTTTATGGGGCAGGTAGAAATTGAGCCTCAAAATATTAGGCAGAAGATTTTGTGGGTACTCAGGAAGACCATCAATCAACTTACATATGATTAAGCTCTGTATTTTGCTCACACAGTGATTTTTCTCAAAATAAAATATTTTACTTACAGAACACTCATATTAAGCTTCAAGTTTTTATTTCAAAAAAATATTGCTTTAACTACAGTATACTTCCAATTGCAAAGGAATATGGAACAGAACCATACAAAAATGCTTCAAAACTATGTTTATTGAGAGCTGTGGCAGTGAAGATAAAACTACAGGAAAAACATCTATAAAACATTTCCAAATATCACTTCATGGAAATCTTGGTAAAAGAAAACAGGCTGCTGAAAAACAAAATGGACCTTGCTGCCGCTGCTAACATTCCAGTAAATCCCACCCAAACAGGGTTATTTTTAAGTCAAAATGTATCTGGAGGGCAATAGGATACAATAACGGAAGAGAGAAAGACCTAACCATAAAAACCCACAGATTCAGCCATGTCAAAACATTGTCTTTGATTACAAATAGTGCTGCTCTAAACATGTGGAAGTAATAGAATTACAAGCATAAATCTCTTCATTTATAAAATGAAATCCACAAAGAGTAAATCAAGTACAAATGAAAGGATGATTTGTAGGAAAATGTTATAGGTTATCTCATGTTGTGCAACAAAACACTTGCACTACATTTTTTATTTTTATGGTTCTGATGAGGGGAAGGAGGTAGAATCAATTAAGACACCCAGAATTTTACTTCACATCTTGAGAGCTCAAGTGTTGCCTGAACTTAGGAACCTAAATCCCTTTGCATTCAGATAAAGCTTCTCTTGAGAACTGCAAAGTGCATAAGGATTCATTCCTACCTGCCTTCAATATTTCCCTACCCATACCTAGACCATTGCTGAACAAAGCTTACCTTTCATGTCTTTTCTGACATCCAAAGCAGTTGTTTTGGTTCTTAGCTTCTTTTTGAGACTCCTCCAAACTGAGTTTTGTGGCTTTCAAGTCAAAACATGAGTTTGAGTTTTCTTTTCTGCAGAAAATCCTCAAACCTTCCTCTACTCCTTTTTTTCTGTGCCTTCTTGCATTGATTACCTGCTCCCCACAGGTGGACATATTTACCAGGAATTGGCTCAGACCACAGGTGGAAGTGATGTACTAAATATGCAGACACCTGTTAACTCTTTCTGAATCACTGGAAGACTTACAGAGTGCTTTCCTATGCTCCTAAACTAGAGTAAAATTTGTTTATACCAAGTTCCAATATATTCCAAATATGATAAACTTCAATAATTATTTTCTTGAGACAATCTCCAAGTGCTTTTCAAATACAAGTATCATCATCTCTCCTGTTGAGATAAAGGAACTGATTCAGGAAATACTTAAAGCCTGGAACCAAGATTATGAGCTACTGCAAGACCCTTTTTTATGCAGTTTGATAATGTATATGAGAAATGTTTTATAAGATTGGCATGTCTACAAAGGGCAAGTTTCAGAGCAAAGACAGAATCTGGTCCAGCTTAACTCCAGGTCTCTTCCCCTATCTGAAGAAAAGTATCTGACAGCTTTTAATAATGCATATACTCTATTTGTTAAATAATATTTTCAGTTTCCATTTTATTTCATAATAATAAATTCCATATTTGACAGTGAAAAACAATAGTGTGAATAAAGGTGTGAAAATAAGCTGCTCTATAGAGGTCTAAGGTTTCCTTCGCTCTCTCTCTCTCGCAAAGTACCCATCTTGCATGGACAGAACTTTGGTCCTCAAACTGTAAGAACATTAGTCAATTAGCAAGAGACAGCCTCATTTTTGAGGAAGGCACAGGGTTTCTGATCATAGTCCAGCATCCATTCCTCCACTGACTTAATGTAGGGGTGGGGAACAATTTCCTCACTGAGGGCAGCTAAGTATTTACAATTACTAACTTTGGAGGACCACACATTAAAATACACTGTGACATTATCAGAACGATGTGAGAGATAAACAATGACTCATCTTTTCTGTACTCTCGCGCTTTCCTTCCCTCTGCTCACAGATGTTATCAGCACAGAGCACACATGTGTGTAACAGAGAGCGGTCTGTATGCTCACCTGCAAGTCGTTTTGAAATGCCAGGCCTCATTTGACCATAAACCATATAAATAAATCTCCAGACCACATCTGGCCCGCAGGCTGCAGTTTCATCTGCTCTGCTGTAGGGTTTCTCTGC